CTATGTCTCAGTACAAATTCGCTCGCAGCAAAAGGTTGCTTCAGAGAAAAGTCTTAGAATATGATTTTCTAACATTCGTCTATTCAAAGTTCGAAAACTACCTTAAAATAAGGTACTTCCAAAAAACAGTCTTCGGAAGATCTTCGGATGAAAGGATTTTTGTAGTCGTGGAAGAGTTGTTCACGGGTTGGATGGCTGATGGCATGGTTCATCCTTGTCTTTTTCCGGACGAATACGGTCGGAAACCGGAGTTTTTTCCGGTCGTTTCCGTATGTTTTTTGGTGCAGTTCCGTTCCGGTTCCTGTTAATTTCTGGGTGCTGGAAGTGGACGGATGTCTCGAGTTGCGTGTACGAAAATTTTCCGGCCGGAATACTGCTTCCATATTTCGGGATTTTTTCCGGCTGGAAATCACCGGAAATATACCGGAATCGACCGGAACAGAGCGGAAATTGCACCGTTTCCGGCGGGTTTCGGCCGGTTCCCACGACTGGAAGCATCGACCTGGGAGTGACTTATTAATCAGTTAGTACTAATTCAAATTTCTTGCGGCATAACTTGGGTCACTAACTATGGGTTTTGTTGTTTTATCATGGAGAGATTATTTTATTCGATGTGCTTTGGAATAAATTCGTCAGCCGTTTTTGCTTAATCGCTCAGAAATGCAATAACGAAGTATTTAATATATTTCAATCAGGCGCTACTGATATGTGCTGTGTAATCATACATACACCGTCTTTGCAAATCGCTACCTTGTATACTTTTAAGGAAGTCTTTAGAATTGTGTTGCACAATAGAACTGAATGTATCTTCTTCAGCGTTCTAGAATCACTTGTTCATAATGTGAAACAATCATTTGTGTTCTCGTTGCATTAAGATGAGTGGAGCAACAACGCAAGAAAGAGGGAGATTTTCACTAAAAGAGTAAGTGATAAGTAGATAAGAAAAAAAAGTGAGCATTTAACATCTTAATTCCGAAATTTTGCAAGAATTTCTTTTGCAAATTCGAATTCGACTCCAGGTATCTCAAGAGTTTTTGAAGATTGTAATAACTCTCAATTATGTATTATCAGCTACTGTGTATGAGGAGTAAAGAACAGGCTGCTTGGTAGTGAAGAAAGCGAAATTTCTCGTTTATTAAAAGAATAACTATAGTTCCTTTCCATCGTAGTGATGACTATTTAATATTTTCGGTAGTTAGAACATCATGAGTCCAACACAGTTTACGTGACTTGTTACTCAGTAATCAGCGGATCTCCTGCTATTATTAGTTCGTAGCGTAGCTCATCGATAATGTTAACTGAACATTATGGGATATGGAGGCGACTGCTTGTTAACGACATAATGTGAACCAATTTGTGATATACAGCACTATTATTTGTGCAATTGAAATAGGGGAGAAATCTCAATAGATTTCAGAGAATGGCGCTCATATCGGTTATTATAAGGGCAAAGCAGGCTGCAATTCTAAATTCTACATGAAATACACACTAAGTAGAAATGCGTCGGGTTTATCTGTCGTGAGCTAATGTGTTGTGCACTTCAGCGTAGAAATGTGTCGTATATTTTTCGCGTTCTGTCTGCTGACTGTTCGTTCATCGTTTTGTTTTGAACACGCAGGGATATATAAACAACGTTGTTGAACGCGTAAAAGATAAGTTTTCGAAATATACTTTTCTTGTATAGATGGATCTGATCCGGTTGAGTTTTCAGAATAGAAACAATTGTATGAAACTAAATTGAAGAAAAAGTCGAAACATGCGTTCCCAAAAGAATCAATAAAAAATGTGTTGCATGTGTCGTACAAAATGTATTGCACTCTTGCTGGGCAGAATGTGTCGCAGCGAGCACTTCATGTCGTACTTGAATGTGTCGTGCATTGTGTCGCAATTTAAGACACATGCGACACATTTTTACTTAGAGTGTATAGTGCTACACTTAAACCAGGTGGCTAGCTCAGAAGATGAACTTGTGAACTTTTCAATTTTGTCCAAGAATTAGTAAGTTGTAGTTTTAAGATCAGCACTATACTCTTCTTGCACTAATCGATAATGATGTATGTGGTAACATCAATGCAAAAAGAAAGCATAGGTAAATAATCATTCGACTTATACCACGTGATAGGAATGATATGCCAACCGATTAGCTTAGAATATGTCACGATACAGTTCATTTAATAAAATAGACATGATTAATAGAGAGATGTAACAAGTTAGTTGATAATATGCAGTTTATTTAATCCTCTACCCATGATAGGGCCTAAAGGGGCATAGTGCTGATTACAGAGTAACTTATGAAGAATGAAAGGCAATTGAAGCAAAGCACAAACGTAAAGCATATAAAACTATGAATACAGATAACATGGGTCATGTGCGACGGTTTGCAAAGTCGAACCATGTTGGTATGCGAGCAGAATGCATAGACGATCGACGAACAAGTAGTTTCTTTTTTCTTTAGACGTGCAGAACCGAACAGAATTGTTTTAAAACTTGGTGCTGTAGGGGGGAAGGCTCGAACATGATACTGATTCTCGAGAAACGAACATATTGCCACTCCGTCAATCCCCCACCATAACAAGTTCGTTTTAATCGATGCTACTTTCTGTTTATTGTTCCTTCATAAACAAATCGAAATGAAACAGAAGAGAGCTTTTGTGCCACTAGTATTTATGCATGATCTATGAGATTATTTGTCTAGAGTTAGTGAATGCCAGCCCTTTTTTTAATGAAAGGATAAGGATAACTAGACCTTCATAATTCAAGGAAAACTTGGAGGTACCAAATGAAGCTCCGAGAAAAAAAAACAGACAGCTAACAAATAAAAAGAATAGAAACTCTGAGCCCAATGAGAATCCAGAATATTCGATCAAAGTTCACGAAATCCAACACATGCGAAATCTGTCTTATCTTCCTTTCAAATTCAGTGAGTTAAACTTACCATTAAAAGCTCGAAAGTGTCACAAAGAATGAAATAAAGACTACTTCGAAACAATCATTATCAAAATCATCTCACGATCTTCTCCTGGATGATAATTTTAGAAAGACTATTTATCAAGTTTATGATCAGACTTATCAGCTTCTTTCTAGATTTAATATTAATTTTGCTTAAAAAAACGAGAAAATCTGCGATAAAATAAATTACAAAAACTGTACCAGTCAAATTTGAAAAATTCCACATATTGTCTTACCTGACGAAAATCATAACAATGCATTAGATCAAATGTTACGCTGATACTTTGAACATATTGTTGCTTTTTTTATTTCAAAACAGAGAAATTTAGCTTATCCTAAGACAATTTATGATTCCTCTTATTTGCCAGCTAGTTATAAATCTCAATTTCATGCAATAAGAGTCTTCAAGTCAATTTTCCCTTCACTTTCAAACTCTTTTCTTTTGAGTAAAAATTCATGTCAAAAAGAATATAGTTAAAGAGAGGAAGCTTCTTGTCTTTTAGCAGATAAGAAGGCTATGCTGTTACTTGATAGATTTAAGCATGTTCAACTGTCAGATTATTCGATGAATGAAAGGTTACGGATGAGATCATATAGATTCAGTCGATACGACATATTTCTTGTATTACTCATTAGTTTATCTTATTACTTTGCTCAGTGGCGGCGGAGCGTCATTAACCTAAGTGAGGCTCATAATATTTTTTTCTATGGTGAACTTTTAATAAAACATGAAGCAAAATATAAGTCTTCTTTTTATTAGACCTCAGTAAAAACTACAACGGTCATCGTGAAAACAAAACGAATCAGAACGTACCAAAAAATAACTTTCTCTGTTCGTTCTTCGATGCAAAAGTTGAACAGAGACTTTTCAGATCAATAGAATCTGTCTTTTCTTTGTATATATGTGTCAAAAAGACACTATTTAAACGAGTTTGTGTCA